CGATGAGATGGACGGACACGGGGGCTGCATCCATGGCTCACACATGACAACAGCTGTGACGATGGCACAGAGCCATGCAGCTTCACTGTTGGGCACGGGGGTTGCTATGGGTCTCGGCCAACTGGATGGCACCTAACACGTTTTCACAGTTTTACATTTCCTTTGCTTTCTAGGGTAGAGTTTTCTCAAGCCCAGGTTTAGAATACCAGTCGACAATGACTAAAGATTTATGAAGCAGAACAGTCTTCATGATATCCTATGTCCTACATACAACGCAGTAAACTCACCCACATACATTAACACTTCTAACACTGTCACATCTCAAACCCATAATTTTTTTTAAAGGTTGATCACAATCTACACATTTTCAGAATCCACACAAGAGTGGGAAAGCATGCTGCCAAATTTCAAAAGCCAAGACGAATTAAAAGGCCAGCAGTTCAAACCCACCAGCCGCTGTACTCAAAACCATTCACAATCTTAAAAGCTGAGCAGGGTCACTATGAGTCGGAATCCACTCAGTGGCGGTGGGTTTGGTTCAGGGGCTGACAAGGCACTGGCTTATCAAGGCTGCATGAAGGCCAGACCCCACCCTGAGGCACTCTGCGGCAGGGACTCCGGGTCAGGTTCAGTAAAGGGAATGTAGTCAGAGATCTTCCTAAGCCATAGTGTCACATCACCTAGTAGTTACGTGGTGGGCTGCTGTCAGCAGTTTAAACCCAGCAGTCACTTTGCAGGAGAAGACAGGGCTTTTTGCTGCAGTAACAAGGTTGCAGCCTAGAAGTCCTGCCCTACAGAGTCGCTTGTAAGTTGGCACCAACTTGATGGGAGTGGTTTTTTCTGGGTTTAGTGATCCTCAAATGTGTCCACACTTAAATTTTACACAAATGCAACACTCTCACCCAACACTCTGGTGGCACAGTTGGCTGAGCACTGGGCTGCTAGCTGCAAGGTCGGTGGTTCAAACCCACTAGCTGGACCTTGGGGAAAAGACAACTTTCTGCTCTCCTGGAAGCTGACAGCCTCAGAAACCGGCCAGCAGTCCCACGCCGCCCCGCTGGGTCGCTGTGAGTCAGGGTCAGCCTGAGGGCCAGGGGTGCGTGGAGTTTCTCATCCGAAGTTAGCACTGCTGGGGACGGAGTACCTTCTCTGCCAGCTCTAACCCCTGACTGGTTTAAATTAAGAACAGCAGACAACGAACAGTCCTCACCCCATTCGGTTGTCCAGAAACAGAAGACTTTGCTAAGTCTTACTCATAAGGTTAAGAATCCCACTTCTTTGGAAAAACTGAATCTCTAAGTCTGTGTCTTAATCCAGATAGACTAGAGAAACAAATCCAGAGACAAGCGTAGGAGAGAACTTTTTATCAAAGAGCAACTGTACACTAAGAAAACATCCCAGCCCAGTCCAGATCAAGTCCTTAAGTCCGACATCACCCCACATGTCAATACTACTCTGTAAATTCCTCTTTAGACTCATGCAGCACATGCAATGATGCCGACTGCAGAAAGATCACAGGCCAGTGGGTGGAAAGTCTTTTGGATCCAGTGGTGGTAGAAGCATCTCAGTGCTGGCATGGGTCTCCACATGGCTCCTCCAGCTCCAGGGCTGTAGCTGCATCAGTGTAGCTCCATGTGGCTTGTCAGCAGGAAGACCAGAGAGGTTCTCCATCCTCCAGGGAGCAATACAGGAGTTCCCTGAATCCTCAGGAGAAGGCCATCCCCACATGGAGACCTCATTGGCTATGGCCTGATTGACAGGCTAGACTCCACCCTTTCACAAGTTGACAGGAGAATATTTAACTGCCACACTGCATGAAGGAGAATTAAAGAGTGAAGCATCTTCTGAGACTACCAGAAACATGGATGTATTCCCCTGGGTTGGCTATCCACCTTTGCCCAGGTGAGCCAACCAAGGGCTCAACACAATGGTCCTAAGTGCATGGCGATCAGGATGCCGACCCCGCCCAACGATCTGGCTCGGAGTCTGTGTCGCACTAAGCAGCAACTGACTCTAGCACTAAGGGGCTGCTGTCTTATCCAGGGCACACCAAGCCCCTTTCCCTTCTCTGTGCATTTCTTCACTGAATACACTGATGGGGCGTTCAGTGAAGATGATTCTAAACAGCCAACCCAAAATGCACTGCCACCAAGTCGGTTCTGACTCCTCACAACCCAACAGGGCAGAGCTGAGCTGTCCCCTGGAGGGGCTCAGGCCGTGCAGCATCTCTATGGAAGATGCTGTTGCGATGAGGGGCTGTCCAGTCGACTCAGCCTGCAGAGACTCTGCGTAAAACAGAAGGAGACACGGCCAGACCTGCACCGTCCTCACATGCATTCCTTATGTGTGAGCCCATTGTTGCAGCCACTGGGTCAGTCCACCTTGTTGAGAGCCATCCTCTACTTCACTGCCCCTCAGCTTTACCAGGCATGATGTCCTGCTCCAGGGACTGGCCGGAGTCCTGGAGAAGATGTTTGTGCTTCTTCCCAGACAGACCAGACCTGGTTGTTCATTTGGCCGTCGTGGTAAGTTCAACATTCTTCTCTGGCACCACAATGCAAACGCATGGATTCTTCTTTGGTCTTCCACACTCAGTGTCCCACTTTCACAGGCATATGAGACAAAGGAAGACACCATGGCTTGGGTCAGGCACAGGCTAGTCCTCAAAATAACATCTCTGCTGCTCAGCACCTTAAAGGGGGCTCATGAGCAGATTATTCAATGCAGGGCGTCTGTGTATCACGTTACTTACTGGTCTAGTCGGGGTGATGTTGGGTTTCTTTACTTTGAATTGTAACCCATATTGCAGTCTCTGATCTTCAGCACATGCTTCAAGTCCTCCCTTCGTTCAGCAAACAAAGGTCTGTCGTCTGCATATTGCAAGTTGTTCGTGAGTCTTCCTCCAATTCTGATGTCACATTTTCCTTCATGTAATCCAGCTTCTCTGGTTATTTGCTCAGAATACAAACGGAATGAGTACGGTGAGAGGACACAACCCTGTCCCATGCCTTTCCTGATTTTAAACCATGCAGTGTTTCCCTTGCTCTGTCTGCACAACTGCCTCTTGGATCCATGTACAGACTACACGAGCAGAATCGAGTGTTTGGGATTTCCCATTCTTCTCAGAGATATCCATATTCTGTTATGACCCGCACAGTCAATAAGCACAAAGAAGAGCAATGACCCTCATTCCACGTCCTCTTCTGAACCATCCAGCCTGGGCCTCGGGCAGCTCCCGGTCACTGTTCTCCTGCAGCTGCTGTTGGACGGGTCTTCAGTAAAGTTTCCTTTCCTGCCGCTTTTCTTTGGAATGGGTACTAATCCAGACGTCTTCCGGGCAGTTGGTCAAGTAGCTGTCTTCCAAATGGCCTGGCATCAACAAGTGAGGGCTTCCAGCGAGTGCTTCATCAGCTTGTTGAAACATTTCAGTGGGTATACCATCAATTCCTGGAGCCTTCTTCAGTGCAGCTTGGACTTCCTCCCTCAGTACCATTGGCAGCTCATAAGCTACCTCTTGAAATGGTTGAATGCCGACTTGTTCTTTTTGGCACAGTGACTGTGCATCCTTTCCACCTTCTTTTGATGCTTCCTGCATTGTTCAATATATTGACCATAGAATCTTTCTATATTGCAACTCAAGGATTACATTTTTTCTTGAGTTCTTCCAGTTTAAGATATGCTGAGCATGTTCTCCTCTTTTGGTTTCCTAACCCTGGGTCTTAGCACGTTTCGTTTTACTATGTTACACTGTCTTCGGGAATTGCCCTTTGAAGTTTTCTGTTCTGCTCTGTAACTTCATCTTTTCTTCCATTTGCCTCAGCTACTCTGTGATTCAGAGTCTCTTCTGACGCCCACTTGGATCTTTTCCTTCTTTCCTGTCCTTTAATAACCCATGTGATGTTCTTGATGTTCTCCCACAGCTCGTCAGCTTTTCGGTCCTGAGTGTTCAACGCGGCCCAGAGTGGACAGCCTCATCTGGGACCAGGAGATGGGCTCCAGCCCTGGCTTTCCTAGTGAGCAGCTGAGCACTTGACCACTGCTGCTTTGACTGGCGGGGGAGGTGGGTAGAGGGGCGCTCACAGACAGGTGAGGGAACTCAAGATGAGACACTGTCGAGGGCAAATGAGCAGAGCTGAGCTGCTCCGTCAGGAGGGCGCGGAGCCCCCACCACAGATCCCTCCCTGCACGCAGGTCTGTGGGGCCAGCCTCGCCACCTGGACCACATAGCCTGTGCTATAGTCTGCGGAACCACCACCCCACCCAGCTCCAGAGCTGCCAGCTGCAGCCCAAACCCTCTCCGAGGAGGAGAGGGCCAGCAGCAGCACAAGAGACTGGCTACCACACCTGGTGTGAAGCCACCAAAAGACAGATGTAAATGTTCAAATGCCGCTCCACACCCAAAGGGCTCTGTGCACCTACCCCGGAGATCCCCTCCCATGCTGGTGATGCTCCGAGACTGACACCAAGAATCTGCCGTCATAGTCCCTCTCAGAAGGGCCACACGGCAGGGATGAGAAATCCAGGAGGCCGTATAGCACCGATGAACCACGTAACTATCCTCTAGTTCTCTAATATCTCTTCCCCTTACTATTATGGTTTTTACTGTCTTCCCTCATTAATCATGTTAGACTTGCACATGTTCGTTTGTATAACCGAGATCGTTCGATGCATGAAAGCCATGACGGATAATTCTTCAGGAACAGTAACAGGAGTCACACGGGAAGGGGGCTGGGGAAGGGAGGAAGGAGCTGCTGACAGCATTGATGGCTGCATAACTCAACTCAGGGAATGAACAGACTCGTATGTGAATGAATCTGTTTTGGAAGGCGGAAGATACAGCAAAAACAAATAAAAATAAAGGCTCCTGGGGGTTGGGGGGCGGGATAAAGGGGAGCTGATATCAAGGAGCTCAAGAAGAAATGTTTGGAAACTGATTGTACTAGCACCTGTACATTACTACGTGATGTGGCAACTATGGAATGTCATGCTACCTGTAAGAACTCCCAATAAAGTGATTTGAAAAAAGAACCAGGCGTCACAATGACCGGCTCCTGCCCACTCACCCGTTTATCCAATGTTCTCTCCCTGACGAAATTCAGGAGGTGATCGTTGACCAGGAGGATGTCCTTCTTGGCGGCTGTGACAATGGACACAATGACGTCATGCCGGATGGCCTCCTCGGGGTCATGGGAGCGCACCTTCAGGTATTCTGCAAGGCAAGGCGGCCTCGTCAGTGTGCAGCTGCAACCCGTGCAGGCCCCAGGGAGATGGCAGAAGAGCTGAGAAGGCCGAGTGCTTCAGGGCCTCCATGGGACATGGCCGGGCTTGCTCACAACTGACACTCAGCCTGAAGTCCCAGAGAACTTTCCAGTCTTATTGTCTTCTCCACGCCCAGCCTGAAGACAAGCATGCTTCTCTGCCCAAAGGCACCAGCTTCCTGCACACGGCTCCGCCGCAAGAGCGCCCAGCTATGCAGCCGCCCCCAAAAAGGAACGCCAAAAAAACCCCGGGCCCCTTGCCAAAAAAACAGAATCCATCCCCATGAAACCACTGTCCTCAGCAGAGCATCGGCACGCCGGCACGGCACCCGCCCACAGTACCTGTAAGGTCCTTGGCCAGGTCGGGGTGGTTCATGAGGCAATGGCTGGCGAACTTCACACACTCCAGGCGGATTGGGACGTGGATGTCATTAAACCTGAGGAATCAAACACCAAAAATAAAGTGACCCCTGTCTGTGGAATCTGCACAAAGCCAGCGACCACTTGTGCTCTGAACAAAGTCATCCAAGTGTTAGGGCGCCAGACCGTGTACACTCGCCTCAGCTGCCCTGTGGTGGAGAAGACAAGGAAGGGGCCACACTACACTAGGGCCATCTCTTGTGACAACTAAGGCTGACAAGTACGTGTCAACAATGCACATGTGGCTCCAGAGTAAGATTCACTATGACGCAGACAAGGGGCTCCAAAAAGCTGCTTTTCAAAAATTCCATTTCCCCCCAAATGCACCGAAGCCTCTGGGCTAACAAGGACCACGCTTGCTGCAGCTTCAAGTCCACCGGGGTGCCTGGGAAGGAAGCCTAGTGATCTGCTTCCCAAAACAGTCACAGTCCTACCCTGTCCCCGTCACCCATGGGGCCCAGAGCCCAAGTCCCCGCAAAGGCAGCTGGCCTGCCACATTCCAGGGGGCTTCGGGAGTCACGGATAAATTGGATCAGGGCTCCTTCCCCGGCTTTCTGAAACCCCTTATCTCCCTGTGTGCACATACGTGTGGGGACTCAGGTTTGCCAGCCGCATGGGAGGAGAGCGTCCCTACGACACCAGCCATAAGCACAGGTGCAGAGAAACGGCACAGCAATCACCATTTGAGAGGGCACCCGCTGCATGGTGCCCTACAGGCAAGGGGCCAAAGGAGCAGCACCTGTGTCCTTCCCGGATCGGAGCTCGCCGGTCGCCGGCACTGGGGCGATTCTCATTGCTCCAGCGCCAGCGTGCCCTCTGTGTCAGCCATGGGGCCTTTTGTCACAGTGCAACAGCGTAGGGCCAGCGTTGGGGTGGGGGTGGGGGTGGGGGTGCGCGACACCTCTATATACTGTACATGAAGGTGGGTGTGTGTGTCATGAATCTCATTTTGCATCTGAAGAGAACATGTTCTTCACCATATTCTTAAGTCCAGAGCAAGTCACAAATTGTGGGGTGGGGTCCTGCACTATCTACATCTGGCTTTAAAAAGAGGAGCATATGTGTCATCCTTTACAACAGGCCCCCCCCCGCCCAATCTAATGAGGTGTAGCTTTTCATCAGGGGTCTATAGCTCCCAGCACTGTTTGTTCCGTTGGAATTACTCACACTGCCGTGCACTAACACACTTTAATTTCATGGCTGCAAGACTCTGTCGGGTAGCTTTTGAAAGGTGCTTTCAGAAAAGCTCCAAAGGAGAAAATAGATGAAAGGAGAACCGAGCCCGGAAGCATGACCAATTGCTACGAACATTCCCGACTTCAGCGCCGGGAACGGAACCTTCACGCTCCCAACTAGAGAGACACAGTGTGGCATGGCGTGGCTATGAGCAGTGCTTCGTTAAAAGGGGACGTGCGAGGTGACAGGCTTGGTACTCTTGAGGGAACCCCGAGGCACCTACCTGCCCAGGTAGCACTGCCAGAGCGGCTTGTTCTGAGACGCCAGCTCTGAGTCCTTTGCCCCAAACATTTTCGCCAGCAGTTTAACCACCTGTAGCCGCTCCTCGTTATCATTGCTCTGAAACAAACATGGTCGCAGCATCACACCAGGTGGGCTCTGCAGAAGGTGATTCATCCCCAAAGCCCCGCCCCACTCCCTTCATCTTCCACTTCCATCTGGAGACGCCCGACCTCTTCCTCACAAACTGAAATGTCCCACGAGTGCTCAGACCACTTCAGACTGAGGCAGGACCTCCGTCTTGAACATCCAGGACGTGGCGGTCCCTCCCACACGTGTGCATATCTGCCACCTCTCTCTGCACTTGCGGTGCTCTAGGGGGGCACACGAGACTTTGACGATCTCAGTGAGGGAGTTCTGCTCTGTGCATGGGAGGCTGTATGAGTCAGAACTGGCTTCCCACCCAGTACAGATGCAGCATAAGGGGAATATGCACTACCTGCCTATACCCGAAATGTGGTCGTTTCTGGGCAAGGATGCAACAATAACTAAACCATTATTCAAAGATTTTTTAAATTCTGAAAACGTGTACCATTCAGGTAATCTATGTTGTCAGAATGCAACGGACCTGAATTATCTAAATTTGTGTGTAATGAACTTATAGATGTAGGCATTACAGCTTCTGTAAGCATTAATTTAGTAACTACTGTTTGCTAGCCAGAAGGAGCCCTGGAGGTGTAGCAGGTCAAGTCAGCATTGTGTCCGCAGTGCAGACCCACCGCGTGCGCTCCACAGGAGAGGCTGCCTGCTTCTGTACAGCTGACAGCTGGGGATGCCCGGGAGAGCCGTTACGCCCTGTCCATGGTAGTGATTCCTGGCTGGGAACCTCGCCAGGGAGGGCACCCGCACCCGCACCCGCACCCGCAGGGAGTAACTCCCCACCCCGGCATGCAGTGAGAGTGTACCTTCAGCTTGAACTCCAGCTGGGGGAGCACAGAGAGCAGCAGGTGGCTGTCGATGTTGTAGAGCTCCAGAATCAGGTCGAAGACGTGCTCCGACAGGTCGCTGATGGACGTCTTCCCCAGCATCAGCACTTGGTTGAAGAACTTGCAGAGAGGAAGACAAGGCACCATGCGCTGAGGGAGCTCGTAAAGCCCCGTGACCACTTGCGGCCCAGCCAGCCTAGGTGCCTATTTTACCCAGACAGGCGTGGTTCCCACCTAGAAGATCCCTACCAGCTCACCAGCTCAGGGCAAGCTTGCCACATTCATAAGGATGGGCACCTGTAGCACCTGAACTAAAGCACTGCATGTCATAGAAGAAATCAGGTCCGGCTTTAAAATACTTTGAATTCTTTTCATGGAAAATGCCCCCCTCCCCACCAACACACACACCCTCTCCCTACTTAACCCCTTTCTATTTGTATCAACAGCATATTCATGTGTGTGAGGTTTATAATGCTAAAACCCAGGCACACGCCCGCCTCACTTCCTGGTCCAGTATCTTAAGACACTGTCAGCCCATAAAAGCCAAACCCAAGCTAGGCTTCCTGGCCTTGGTGCAGGCCCAACGCGGAGCAGGTTCAGGCACACAGTTGGTACCAGAGTGAGCAATAGGTGACAGGCCCCGTGGTGACAGACATCTGGGGAAACCACCGCCCACTGGGGGCAGAGGAGGGTCCAAGCTTGGATTTGATGAAACTCGCCGCATAGATTTGATGAAACTCGCCGCATACAGACACCGAGAGGAGAGGGCATGACAGTGCCCCCTCACAAGGGCACCTCCAAGCACTTTCCCCTGAAGCCCCTCCATCTGCACCACCACCTGCCATGCACCTCGAGCACCATTTCCAGGCACAAACCGAGACCCAGAGAGACAAGCCCCTTAGCCCATCTCCAGAAGAAAGGAGGGCCCTGTCCAGATCTCGTAGAGAACAGCTATGTGTGGTCTGGTGACCATACGCCCTCACTGAGGGTGCTGCAGGGGGTTCTGGGTCCCCAACACCCCGCTTTGCCTCCTTAAAAAGCAGCACATCATTTGGTTTCTGGGTTGTCAAATGAGAAACAAACCTACTTTAAGACACTAGGGGAATTTGTCATTGAACTGAAGGACTGTGGGGGAGAAGAGTCATTCTTTGTGGCATCTTGGGGAGCCTCCCATCTGACAGGGCAGGGCATGGGAGGGACGAGAAAAAAACGATGGGCACTCATGCTGCCTCCCCTCCCGATAATGACATAACAAGGGGGGGGGGGCACACTGCTGCAGGCACGAAGGAACACGAGCATCAGGGAACACAGAGACAGGGAAGCACTGTCCCCACAATTTACCCAGGAAGACTAAGCACCTCTTCAAGCTTCTCAGTATTTCCCAACAGACAAAAAACAGGAAGACTTGGATAATGGACCAGCTCCCGAACCTCCGTTCATTCTACCTGGGCTCGCTCGTCTGCTCAGTTGGCCCAGCCCCATCTGTCCTCCCGGGGCCCAGTGGTGTCCCACTCTCATTCTCCTCGTGCCAGGGACAGAAAGGTACCCCCAGCCTCGAATGCAGCAGCCACAATGTGCACAGTGGCCAGCAGGAGCTGCACACAGGAGGGTCTGGGGACCAAGAGCAAGGAGAAGAAGGGCCGCCCCCCACGAGGGAGGGTGGATCTGCGCAGGTCACATGCTATAGGATCAGGGAGGCAGAAAGTCCACCTAACCAGCAACGGTCAGGAACCCCACCCCCACCCCCAACCCAGACAGCAACAGAGCGGGAGCTCCTTGCCAAGCCGTGGTGGGCCACGGAGACGGACACACAGCAGATGCATGGCGTGGCAGTGCCAGCCCCAGACAGCATCCTTTGCGCGTGGAACCCGGCTTTCCAAGACACCAAGTCCTTAAAACAATGCTGTGAGACCTTAACCCAGAACCCTCCAAGCTGGGAAGAGCCAAGGGAGACGCTGCAGAGTACATCTGCCCTTCGCGGTGGCTTGATCTCTGTGAGGAGCAGGCAAGGTTCTCCTCCAATACACACCAGGGAAGGGGCAAGTGGGTGTTTGTTTTACTTTGACTGATTTTGTTCTTTGAGGGGTGGGGAACTTGGTTTGGTGGTTTTTGTTTGGTGTTTTAAACTTGGGCACAGCACAAGTGTACCGAGAAAGGAAAGCCGGTAACACACTCCTCAGTGTGAACTGAGCCCCTGACAAGAGTCCCACAGATAATGACCGGAGGCCAATCACAAATGGAGACAGTCCACTTCACTGTAATTCTCTTCTTTTCCAAAAACCGCGGGCAGATAGCTTCACCTGGACTCTGTCTTTCTATAAGTAATGTCAGCAGCACCGCTCACCAAATCACTCCTGCCATTCCTACTGGCCCTTGGTTTCCGAGCTTGGTTCCTACCTTCTTCCCGTACAAATCAGCTACCTCCCCGAAAGGCTGAGGGCAAGTTCCATGTGTTTGATCTAAGCAGGTGCCGCTCCGCCCTCTTCCAAGCCCTAGACACAGAGCAGCGCACCCTGCTCGCCAACACAGAAGCACTAGTCTAGGCCCCAGGCCCTCGAAAGAAGCCAAGGACAAGCAAACTTGGTGGGGAGCTCCCTAAATGAAGGGGAAACATGAGCGGAGAATGCATGCGCAGTGAGAAGAAGGCGTGTTACCTAACTAAAGCAAAACAAAACGAAATGAAAGGCAGAACCCCTGCTTCTAGGCACCCGGTAACACTCGGCTCCGACCTCCAACAAACAGCGATGCCACAGACTCACGTTGGTGATGTACGGCTCGATGGCCTGGGCCGTCCTCTTCAGTAAAGCCTTGGCCAAATCGTAAGCTTGTTTGTTTAAATTCTGGAAGACATAAAACAGGGTGGGCATTACATTACATACCTTATCCACAAAAAGCAAAGGAGCCGAGTTTGAGGAGGTGCGCCTGTGGGGCTGGAAGGAGCCGAGTGTGAGGAGGTGCGCCTGTGGGGCTGTTTTGGAATGGGAAGGCAAAGCCACTCTCCGGAAGACTCGCTGGCAGGCTGGTCTACTGGATGACAAGGGCCTCTCCAAGCAGTGCCAGGGCAGCCTCTTCACATCTCATTCACTAGCCTCCAGTCAGCGCAGCCCTCCAGGGCAAGGTGGGACTGTCCCTGTGGGTTTCCCAGATGGTCACCTTCTCAGCAGAAGAAACCCTGTCTTTCTCCCACAGTGGTCAGCAAATGTGGGTTACACAGAGAAAACCGAATCCAGACCCACAGTGGATTCTGACCCAGAGTGACCTGTGAGACAGAGAGGCTCTGCATCATCTTCCCCCTGGATCGGCTGGTGGGTCCGACCAGCGAGGAACCCACTGGGCCACCAGGGCCCCTTGGGGGGGTAACTGTCATCACAGCATCAGTCTGCTGAGTGCACACGCACTGGACCCACAACTCCTCTCTAGGAGCACAAGCCAAGTTCCAGAGGGGGTGGCCTGGGGGCTCAGGGCAGGGCAGGGCCGTCTGTGGGAAAGGGAATGAATCGAGCACGTGCCAGAGCAGAGCAAAGCCTTGAACAACAAGAAACACCACGCAAAGAAAATGTTCCTAAAATTCCAACTCATGAAAGAAAAACTTTTAAACGCCAGGCCAACCGGCCAGATGGAGCCCCTGATGGAACCCAGAGACTACATGGCCTTAGTCACTCTTCAGGCCTAAAAATGAACTCACCCCCAGGTTTGTGTACAGCCCAACAATAGGCAGGTCTACCAGGGGACATTCCCCATCGCCCCCACCCCAGGGAGGTAGGCTCGGCTTAGAGCCCTTACAGGTGAGGAACGTCTATAAGTCCCAGGAAATGAACACCACCAGCTCACATCACCCACCTCACCAGCCATCACACGAGGGGCAAGTTCAGTAGGACCCTGAACAACATTATAAATATTCCAAATGGCCTCGGGAGAAAGAAGGTTCCCCATCTCTGCCTTAGAACACAGGTTCCCAAAACTTATTTTGCCTACCATCCATCCCCTTGCTCAGGGGATCCCAAAAGAGTGACCCAGTGCACTCTAGGCGATAAAATTGTCCCTCTAGCCCACGATCCAGGGTAAAGTGTAGCCTTCTGCTTCTGCAGCCCCTGCTGGATCATGCCAGCATCTCCTCTCCCGGCCGCCGCAGCCCCCTCCCCGTCCCAGGAGACCAGAAGGAAGATCAAAAGGGCAGCATTCACCCACCGGAGTTCAAAGTTCAGGAACAGGGAGCACGGGCGAGGGCTGTTACCTGGAGAGCATTACAGCTAGTGCGAGGAGACACCATGTGGACGACGTGTCAGGAGGGAAACTGATCTGCTCCGGGAACACTCACCCAATTCACAAAGCAAAGCCACAGGAAAACGTGAGGACGACGGCGCTGACAGGATGAATCGAGCGCAGGGATCCAAAAGTGTCACTATTCCCATCTGAACTGACTGTCCAGAGCAGGACACTGTAGAGCAGCGGTTCTCAACCTTCCTCATGCCGCGACCCTTTCGTACAATTCCTCATGTGGTGGTGACCCCCCGCCAAACCATACTATTATTTTCATTGCTACTTCATAACTGTAATTTTGCTACTGTATAGATCGGGCGACCCCCGTGAAAGGGTCCCAAAGGGTTATTGACCCACAGGTTGAGGACCGCTGCTGTAGACTGTCATTGTGGGATGAAACCTCCTTTATGTGACATTACTTTCGGAGTGACACTGACAGTGGCGCTTGTGCTGTGTGATTACAGTCACCTCTGGCTGTTGCTGCACACTGGATGGCATACTACACGGCAGCTTAGAGAACAGTAACTCATGCTCCATGTACCTGTGTCTACCCTCGCCTCCCAGGGCACGAGAAAGAAAGAACGCTCTCCCTGCCACTGTCTGCTGGGCTGGTCTAGCTTCTTCTTTCTCTAGAGGTCCTATGCATGAAACACTTGTCAGCTACAGACATGCTGAGCTCCCCACTGTCTTCCAGCCCTAGTGGTTACACAGTGGGCTGCTAACCACAAGGTCAACAGTTCCAAAGCACCAGGGCGCAGGTCACAGCCTCAGAAACCCACAGGGGCAGTTCTCCCCTGCCCAACAGGGTGGTTATGAGTCGGAATGGACAGCATGTCTCTGTCATCTGTTAACAAGATGAACAGTGTCTCACAAAAGACACAAGTTCTTTAGTGCAATGTAATACAACACTGCAGCCTTAGCCCCTCTGGCTCTGTGCTCTGGTTATGTATTTAAGAAGTTCTTTCCTTCCTTGAGGCTACAGAGCGGTTTCCTATTTTCAAATAAAACCGTCTCGGGTTTGCTTTGCAAATTTAGCTTTTTATTCCATCTATGATTACTCTTACGTATGGAATAAAATTAAAATCTGAATTTATTATTTTCTATATAGGTATATTTGGGAGCCTTAGTAGCCCAACAAATTAAGAAGGGGGGAGGCACTGCTAACTGCAAGGCCAGTGGGTCAAACCCAACAGCTACTTTACGGGGAAAAGATGAGGAAGCCAGCACCCTTAAAGACTTACAGTCTCAGAAAACCCGAAGGAGCAGTCCCACGCTGTCCCGCAGGACTGTGGGCCAGGGTACTAGGGAAGGTCAACTGTCCTAAACCATTCACTGATCATCTCCCAACTGCTGGCATACATTCTTACACTTCCACATTTCCTTCTTCTCTCCAGTCTATTCGTCCCTCTGTCCACCACTGTCTAGCTACAGTAAAAGAGGAGTGTGGGAATCTGGTAGAATTTAAGACAAACAAACAAAACCTTCACTGCTGTCAATTCTGATCCACAGCAACCTGATAAGACAAGGTAGAACCAACCCTGTGGGTTTCCGAGATTATACTTCTTTCTTTACAGGAGTAAAAAGTTCTATCTTTCTCCTAAGGAGCAGCTGGTGGTTTCAAATTGCATACCTTGTGGTTAGCTACCCAACACATAACCACTGCACCACCAGGCCTCCTGTAGGTACAATAAACCAAACCAAACTCACTGCTATGGAGTCTAAGCTGACTCACCTGTGGGTTTCCAAAACTGTAACTGTTTACAAGAGTAGAAAGCTCTCTTCCTCCCTCCAAGCAGCTGGTGGTTTCAAACTGCCAACTATGTGGATTGCAGACCAACATATAGCTACTACACCACCACCAAACCCTGAGGTGGCCTAGGAACCCTCCTATTTCCTTATTTGTCTTCAAAACTGTTTATCATTGGTCACTTGCTCTGTCATGTGAATTTTATAATCAGCTTGTCAAATATCACACACATGTGGGGTCTCACACACACACACACACACACACATACACACAGAGTTTCTATTTTGAGCAGATTACTTATGAGGATCCAGAAAATAACAACAATAAAGTTTTCAACTTTGATCTTCTTTCATTCTTTTCGGTCAAGTATAACAATTTGCAACACATTTTGTGTTAAATTCAAAGAACACAAGACTCTGACAAAGCCAAAGCCTTCACCTTCTAAGATTTTTAAAAATTGCTCTTTTATCTAGCAACTGTGTAACATCTTCTGTCTTGTTTCAATAATTCATTTGTGCATTTGTTTGTGTTTTCTACACAAGCCATCTATAAACGGTTGCAATTTCATGTCCTCTAATTCCCGTTACTGGCATCTTCTATCTGTCTAGCAAGACCCCCAGCACGATGCTGACTAGCAACGGCACACTGCCTTCCTCTCGGCCACGTCCCCGTCAACAGTCCACTGTGTGCACAGGTGCATCCCGACTTACGACAGACGCCCCTCTGGGGAACTCAGACCTAAGTCAGTTCTAAACCAAGTCAAACACTCCCTTTCTCTACTGAGGTCTCATTTTTTCAGCCTTTTATCTCCATATCTTCATTAACTTCAATCTCGACTCCAGGGTTGGAAAGACTGCATAATCAATTTTCAGACAGGATAACACCCACAAGTTAAGCATGCGCTACAACACAAGGGAGCTTTCACAACGTTGCTGAAGAGTGGAATCAGGACTCACTGATTGTTCCATGAACGTTCTGAAGCGTCTTTGTACTGGTGACAGTAAAATGTCCCACCAAAAACCAGACAGATGGACATGTGGCTCCTCCTAACTCACTAGGTCTGGAGCTGGATGGCCTGCAACCAGGCACAGTACTGAGCACATCCCTATCGGTCTCAAGGCCCTGTCTACTTCCAAGGACATGAGTTTGTAATCAAAAATGGACACTGAATTTTATCCAACGCTCTTTTTCTGCACATAAGGAAATTGCTCTATAATTGTTACTTTAGACCAGGGATGGGAAACCTTTTCTCAGCCAAGGGCAACGTGAATAAAACATCATCCTTTGGCGAGACTGGTCAAACATTTAATTAAATTAGCCCTAATGTGATGGTAGGAATGGCTTCTCTTTGGTGTGGTGGGTGAGATTAGCTGGTGGTGATGATTTTTCGGGCTGGCTGGTCCCCGCTCCTGCCTTAGACCAAAACCAGCAGTGTCTCCACTGCTAATACTGCCCACTGTTAAACCACACTGGTGGTTCCTGAAAGTCGTTCTGCCACACTGGATCCCTCTGCTATTGTGTCACCCTCGATGGATGTGAATGCGCCCACATGCTAAATAGGTTAATGCAAATTTGGCAAGGATTGTTTTCCAGGTTTCTATTTATTTATTTTTGGACTGATTGCAAATGTCCTCATTAAATACTGCCCTTGGAATTGTCTTTTGATCCTTCTCTGATGTTTCCTGTTCCCAATTTCAAGGAGCCCTGATGGCATAACTGGTCACATACAGGGTTGCTAACTACAAGGTAAAGAGTTCGAGACTACCGCCTTCCTCACAGAGGCTTTCTGCTCCCATGTGGATTCGCAGCTTTGAGAGCTCACAGGCACAGTCC